ATGGTTGTTTCCGATTGGTCTAAAAAATGGTTTACATTGAGTTACAACGATGATCGATTGGTCACCTCCCCAGAGTACCAACTTTCGATGGCTCTAAGTGCTAACTCATCCTCCGATACTCTCTCGGTAAACTCTATTACATCCAATACCGCTTTACACTTCTTGAACGGCAATTCCCCGTGCACCATGGTCCAGCAGAGCTTGTAGAGACAGCGAATCATGGGAACAATGAAGATAAGGATAAGTTTGGGTTTGTATTTTTTTGTCTTCCAAAATGATTTCCTCCATCACACATATATACTCTATAGAAAAGAGACTTTCAAAATATCTCAATTGTATGGTTCATGGAAATCTAAATAAAATAATAATATTAAAATAATAAAATTCCCATATGCTCATTGTCTTTATCAAAGAGTGTAGGCAACTCAATACGAATTTGAGAGGCATGCAAAGTAAACAACGCACTAGTTAACGTTGCAATATTCTTAATCACACAAACCACATCATTTCCATTATTTTATTTTTCTTTTGTCAACAAATCCAACTGTGAATCAACAAGAAGGAAATAATATAACATTTCTTCTAAGATGGAAAGCAATGGATTCCAACCATGGTGGTAATGTCATTATCCTTAATTTATTCCCATCTTCTATTTGGGTTTATCTTTTTACAGGTGTTTTGGGGGATAAAGAGAAGAGCTTATGTACAAATAAAGAGTAATAAATAGCAAGAAAGGTTCACTTTGTGATTAAAAATTTATGTGAAAAGGAAGTGATGACAAAGACTTTGGAACTTTACACGCAGAGGCAATTCTTTCATGTTGGAGTGGTTGAACAACTCTTCCCACTTGTTGTTCTCCATTTTTCCATATTATAAAAAAAATAATAATAATAATCAAATTCACATCAATTAAAAAAACATCTTTCACGTGGATTCTAAAAATGCCTACATCCAAGACATGAAAATTTACACATGAAGTCCTTCAATCTTTTAGATTTTCTTGTGGACTTATCATTATAAATAAAAAAACTATTTCAAACGTCCCAAACATTTTAACCTCGGACTAGGGTGTGACAATGACCACCGCTGTTGTCGTAGTCATTGACATCATCTTACTCATACGTTGTCATAGTTGTTGCAGATTAGCCATTGGAATCGTTTGGGATCACGATTTTCATCCTAGGGTTCCCAATGTATAAAATGTCGCCGTCTATTGATCACAATTTCATAGGGGTTTTGTCGCCAGGGGAGGGGAGGTCTGATGGATCTTCGTTGACATCAAAGGCTAACGGTTGATGTGGGTTTAGGGGTTAAAATAAGTTTTCAATGTTTTGGGCTCCCCAAAATTTTCTGTATTTTTAAATATAATTTATATTTTTATTATTATATATATATATATATATATTAAAATTATCAAATTGTGACACATGTTACTTAACAGAGGAAATTAACGTCGTTAACGGCCCGAACACCTAAAGTGGTAAAGTTTGTACCAGAATCCTTTAAAAAATATTTTAGGCACCTATTCATAGAAATTAGTTTGAACACTTTAGAATTAAGTCTAACATTAATTATGACAATTAAAAATTGATATTTTATTTTATTTATAACAAATAAAGTTATTTACTTTTCAGACACTAAAAATAAAAAATTTAAAATAAAAAATTTAATTACAAACATTTTATATTTTATTTATGATCAAATTAGCGTATATTTATTTAGTTTTTCTCCTATAAAAACTTGACATAAAAAAAGGGAGAAATTATCCAAATGAAAATATGGATGTCGTGTATTTGATATACTGAAAGACTTTGAATTGTGAACCAGAAAAAAGAGACCTTGACTTAACTGTATTGCTGTAAACCGGCGGATGAACCGACCTTAGCCTTTGGGGAGCAAAGCACAAAACCAACCGCCATAACACACACAATTGATACCACTGTACCAGTTTTACAAACACAAGAGAAGGCCAAATTGATCAAGCTCCAGCTGGTTCTTTCCACGCGTCAATCGATGGCTTGTTCATGTAATATTTACGCGTTTCAAGGTCGTGACAGACAGACAGATAGGGCGAGGAACGAAAAAGTTATTATGTGTATCATTTGTGGTGTCAGTTACTTATATATTTTTATTTATTTTTAAGATAAATATTCATATGTGTGCAAATGCAAAAAAAAAAAAAAAAGTAAGTAGTTGTTTGAATTTTTTAATTAATAAATGTGATTTATTAGGATTATAAGTAATGTGATAAAATTTTCGTTAGAAAGGTCCTTATTCTATGAGAATTTATTTGATACATCCGACTCACCATATTATATATATTCTAATCAATAAAATTTATTCATTTTAAAATAAATTCAAAATAATTAATTACTCTTTATTTGTATGTAAAAAATATAAAAATTTACTATAAAAACAAATAAGATAAATATATTTTATTAATTGATACCATGAATACATGATATTCCTAGTTCATTTCATAATTTTTCCTTACCCGCGGAGATTCCGCGGAAGCGCTTACCAATACAGCACGCAAAGAAAAAAGTAAACTACTCTGTGGTTTTCGCCTCTATAAGTAAACCCATTACCGTAATTCCCAGTTTGCATAATAGATTTGTCTGTTTGCTTTCAAATATTCTTGGAAAGTTTTGGAGTGTCCGTTTGCGGCTTTTTCTTATGTTCTAATATTTCTGGGCATCCTCTGTTTTCTTGGTTGGTTGAATTGTTTCTTTGATTTATTGGTTAGTCAATCTTGAGCTGTATCAGCCGATACACACACAAATGACCATAAAGAAAAACGGGTTCATCCCAAGCTGTGCACCAGAAGAACTGAAGGCAGTTTTGAAAGCAGTGGCATCCGAATGGGGAGATATAATAAAAGACATGGAAGAATTCCAAGTGGTTCCATTGAAGGGAGCAATGACTAACGAGATTTTCCAGATAAACTGGCCGACAACACGAGGTGGTCTTCATCAGAAAGTGTTGGTCCGGGTTTATGGTGAAGGTGTGCACGTGTTCTTCAATAGGGACGATGAGATTAGGACCTTCCAGTGCATGTCCGAGCATGGTCAAGGACCTAAGCTTCTTGGTCGGTTTCCAGATGGAAGGATCGAGGAATTCATTCATGCCAGGGTATGTATGTCTCTCAATACTTGCTTTTTTTTTATTATCATTTTGATGTCTAATTTCTGCAATTTCCCATATTGCACCACTGTTATTACCCGTTTCTTATTTTCGGTATTTACCAGACACTCTCCGCCGCAGACCTCCGTGACCCTGAAATATCTTCCCTTGTAGCAGCTAAATTGAGAGAGTTCCACAATCTTGACATGCCTGGTCCCAAGGATGTACTTCTTTGGAAACGACTGAGGTACTGACTATGAATATCTAATATTAGTGCTCTTATACTTTTTGAGTTGGAACATCTAAGCCCTTTCTGTTCCTGACCAGGACCTGGCTTAGTCAGGCAAAGAAATTGTGTTCCCCTGAAGCTGCAATAGAATTCGGCTTGGATGCTCTCGGAGACGAAATCAACATCCTGGAGAAGGAGTTATCGCAGGACGATCAAGAAATCGGGTTTTCTCACAACGATTTGCAATACGGTAACATAATGATGGATGAAGAAATAAGAGCAATTACCCTAATCGTAAGTATCCGATTCGGTTCTTATAATTTGCGAATGCTGATTCTATACAGCACTTTTATCTCTAGTGGCTACCATAGCATTCTTTTCGATATCAAACTTTCTTGCTGTTTCTTTCTTTTGGCCTGTTGTCAAAGGGACAACTGCTAAATTTGCATATGAATTGAGTATATATTTGTTCCCTTTTGTAGGACTATGAGTATGCAAGTTACAATCCCGTTGCTTATGACCTTGCAAATCACTTCTGCGAGATGGCAGCAAATTATCATTCAGAGACACCCCATATCTTGGACTACACCATATACCCTGGTCAGTCACTGTTTCATTGACTTCGAAACCATCCGTCATTTTTGGGTCTAACTTTACCTCATGTATTTTGGACAACAGATACGGAGGAGCGCCGAAGATTCATCCGTGCATATATAGGATCTTCAGGTAAATTATGTCAATCCCCGTACATGGCAAAGAGTATGGGGGGTACAATTACATATTATAACTGGTTTTAACATATTTGAATGCAGGGAATGAACCCATTGATGCTGAAGTAGAGCGGCTACTTGCTGATGCAGAGAAATACACTGTTGCTAGTCATCTGTTCTGGGGATTATGGGGAATTATCTCGGTAATATTGTCGGCACCATCTTTCGTTTTTTTTTTCGATTAGCTTATTTGGTGTTCGAGTTTTTCGTTGACTAAAGACGGGGTGTCGGTGTGTACGCAGGCTTACGTAAACAAAATAGAGTTCGACTACATGGAGTATGCAAGGCAGAGGCTTAAGCAATACTGGTTTAAGAAAGCCCTTGCTCTGGAGTCCCTTACTCTATGATGCAATGCTCCCATGTTAACAAATAAAAGCTGTAAGGGTCGGTTGCTCCACTTCAGCATCATTGGGTTCATTCCCATCCCAGCATTCAAATAACTGCAGGTGAAAAGCTTTTGTAAATTACTGTTGTATGGGTTGCTCGTTATGTGGGCATATACTCCCCTTTTAACTGTTGTTTATTTCATGATTCAAATTCTTAAAGAGGCCTGCCTGCTTTGGTGTAATTTGAATATTGTTTTGACTTTTCATTTGCTTCATCAAAGTGTTTTGGGTGCCTCTGCTGGATCGAAGATTGATCAACAAAGGTATTAATAGTTGAATATATTATTCTTTTAAAAATTAAAGCCAAATTTATATAATACAACTTGATATATAAGTTACAATCATATGAAATTAATAAAAGAACCTAAGAGATGTTTAGGTTAACAAAAATTAATGGAAAATTTTAAAACATTTTGGGCAGGCAAGAACAAAGCATTCTCCTTTGAAATCATCCATCAACTGAAAAGGCACTTGAATGTACAAAAATACGAAGAGCTACTTAACTAAACTAGGCAATTTACAGAAGGGGCACTTACATTACTGGAAATATCAGCTAAAATTGCTAAAACCTACTGTTAACTAACAGATTAGCATGGTTTCCATCAAAACGCTTTCGTCCCACTTCGAAGACTTCAGAACAATGATATCACCAAAACCATCTTCTTGCTGCACATCCACAAGTCCTTTAGTTTTCAACACCTGCAAATTTTGCACCAACATACGTTGCTTAGCTTTCAGTTTGAAGATTCCATTTCCATGTCTATAGGGTATGAGAATCTTCTATGGAACTATGTTAGACTCGAGTGTAAGCAATATACCAGTATCTCATAAAAGACCTTCACACTTGCTTTCTTTGTTCTTCCTTCCAAAAGCTGTGATAAGTTCACCTTTTCTTCCTCCCCTTTATTTTTTTGATCTTGAAAACTTCTCTGAAGTCTCTTTGCCACCATTCTGTGCATCAAAGATTTTAATTATTTGAGAATTGAGTTTTGTAAGAAATCTTAAGGGCTTGATATTAACTGCTTCAGTTGAAAAAGAACATAATCACGGCAATACATTTATCTCACCTGGTTCTCGATGACCATCCATCTGCAAATCATTAAAAAAAAAACTCAAGTAAGAACGCAGAATGTAAACAAAAACATAGAAAGAACCCACTGACCAAATCAAAGTTTAATATTTGGTCAAGGTATTTGATTAGGTCTTACCCTTTTCCTGGTTACTGTCTTCATTTGAATGTATGTCCTGAACAAAATATCAAAGTAAATAACCATTAGATGACGATACAATTATCTGAACAGACAGAGAAGCTTCTAAACCATCCAACACTGTGAAACACCATTTGCATCCCAATTCCTAAATACTGGTTTGAGTTCCAAAATACAAAATACATACGACAGATGTTGCATCACAAATATGAAAGAAAAAGTTGATGCAGAGCATGGAAGAGTAAATGCCTATATTGCGTAATGTGCATCAACTTATAAGCCCTGCAAGATGTTTATCGCAAATCCATATGGACCATATCACTTTAAGACAACTATTTGTAATCATAAATTTACCCTGCTCACCAGATCGAGATTACGGTCTTCATTCTTGTTCAGGGAAGACCTCTCTATTATTTCATTCAGAGAAGGTTCTTTCCCCATGATTTGAGTAGGATCCACATTCTCTGGTCTTACCCCACCTAAGTTATTACATTTCAGGTCCTTTGGGCTCACAAAAGGCCTCACTGATTTAGAGTGGAGAAGAGGTGTTTGCGGAGCAATTTCTGTCCGTTCTTCGACAATTAGGGAAGTTGACTGCTGAATGGGTGTTTGTGGAGAAATTCCAGCATGCTCCGTGGATTCATCAAATGGAGGAGACTTTGAGAGGTTCAGCATATCAGGAGGATCCCTAATTTCAACAATCATTGGAGTAATTTCTGCTTGCTCAACGAATCCACTAGCCATAGGAGGTTCGGGAGTGTCCATATGATCTGAAGGTTTTGTGATATTAATAGATTCCAGAAGTCTCAACCTCTTTCCACAGTAAATGGATTTGAGCTCCAAGGTGCCTGTCAAGAATATGATTAACAAAGAAGCATAACCAGAGAAATACCATGTAGAAATATTTCTAATAGTGAAATTACAGGGAACTGAAGGCTCTGAGAAACTCTGGGGAAGGTTGAGAATCCAACGAGTCTTCTTTGCACCTATAGCAGTACGGCCATCCTTTACCCGTTTAGAGACCAAATCACTTGCATCTTTTATCCATTGCCTCATTATGCTTCAAAAATTGAACGTGAAATCAATTGAATCATGCAGTTATCAGTTGTCCTCTTAATTTATTTCTATCCTTCAATTTGTTTTTACCAACAAATGTCCTAATTAAAGTCATGCTTTATTGTTTTCAATATCAGTGCCACAGGTATTAAATCAATTGCAAAAAGACGGCATGAATTGAACCTGTTGCAATCCATATATATATACGCTTAGATTGAGCATCAAATTCTTTTTTTTCTAGCTAATATTGCAGCGCAAGATGCACATCTCATAAGACAAAACAACATATTACAATATCTATGGCTTAAAGATGAAACCAAACATTCCCAATTTAATATTCAGCAGAGTTCATCGCAACACATTATTTCCAATTATATCATAAATGACAACTCATTGTTACTGTCATATGCAATGATGATGGTCAGCGCTAAGTATAAAGTTGCAGAACAATGACTAGCCTGCAGTCAATTAGATTCATAACATAAAACTGCTTGAACTGGAAACATAAAAAGGGAGATTCTGAGGTAACCATGTCTTACTCATTAGAGTAAACTATGACATCATCGAATACACATTTTCTCTTCCTAGAAAACCGAGAATGTTCCTTTCTAGCAGGTGTTGGGATAAGCATAAAATGTGGTGTAGTGGCTCCTGCATTAAAGGAGAAATTGTGTATTAGACAAACACTTTAAATAATAAACACAATTTATGGCCTAAAAGAAAGTTTCAAAAATGATTACCATGTTCATTGGATATATGTTAAACATGGGTAGATCATCTAAAATGAAGAGTAAGAGTAACAAAGAGCAAGAATCTTGTTAACTGTCCAACTAATCAAGCACAGGAAAGATTATATCCTTAAGAGGCAAAAAAACTACCATTTTAATATTTTCTATACCTGAAGCATCTTGCAACACGGATTGAGGAGTGGAGTCCAATGTAACTGACAATGTACGATTTTTAGCAGCAGCCTGACATTTTCCATCCTTAGTTCTCTTTGCTGGAAACTTCTCATGCTCTGCATCAGTATGAATCTCTTCAGCAAGTGGTCTAACAAGTGGGGTAGGTTCCTGAATGTCCATGTGAAAGAATTCTTCAGCCTGGAGCTTCTTCGTACTTGTTTCAAAGTTCTGATCTTCCTTCATAACATGGTGTATTTCATTTTCTGGTTGCACCCTATACGAACCCTTCATGTCTCTGTTAGTTTCTTCTTCACCAACAGGTTTGACGAGACCTGGAGATTTCTCCTCAACCTGAACAATAAGATTCAAACATTCTTCTTGACAGAGTTCATCGATATTATTCTCTCTGCTCGATTCTCTTCTTATGTGAATTTCTGAGTCTACAAGGCCCGGGACCTCTACACTTGCTTCCATGCTTACATGATCTTCCTGAATAACCCGGTGCACTTCATTTTCATATTGCAGCAAACTCAAATCCTTCATCTTTTCCCTGTTACCTTGATCTTCAACAAGTGATTCAGCAGGTCTTAGAGGTTCCTCTTCAGCCTCATTACAAAGGTTTGCTCGTTCAGAAGTGAACCTATCACTGCACTTCTCCATACTTACTGAGCCAGAAATGTCTGGAAGCTCTGCACTTGCTTCCAGGACGCTTTCGTAATCTTCCTCCATAGCCTGGTTCATTTCATTTTCTGATTCTAATTGGTCTGGACCCTTTATTAACTCCCTATTAGTTTGATCTTCAGCAAGTGGTTCAAGTTTATGAGGAACTGGAGAATCTTCCCGAGCTTCAGTATGAAGGATTGCCCATTTTTCCGACAATAATCTATCATTGTATTTCTCTCTATTTGCCTCTTGGCCTACTTGGTTCACCAAACCTGCCATGTCAGGAACCTCTACACGCTCTCTTTCATTTTCATTGACAAGGTTCTGAGGCTCTTCCTCTACCCCACCAACTGTTTTAATATGTGAAATCTCCTCAAGAAAAGAGTTATCACATCGAAGCTTTTCTACACTTGCTTCCGGGTCACACACACCATGCAATGTTCTTACTTCTGTCTCAAAGTCCATCTGGTGGCGTGAAAGACTGCTGCGAAAAGAATATGATTAGAAGAACAATTCCAAAACTTTGAGCCACTTAGCTTCTTTCAAAAAGACAACATATCTTAACATATAGAACTGAGGACCTAGGAAATGAAATTTTTGTGCATACTCTTCAGCTAGAGTATAATCCAAAACTTTGACCATTTAGCTTCTTTTTTTATAAGAAACCATTTAGCTTCTTTCAAAAAGACAACATATCTTATCATATAGAACTGAGAATCCAGGAAATGAAAATTTTGTGCATGGTGCATACTCTTCAGCTAGAGTGTAATCCATCAAGAAAGCATCATCCAATGCCGCAATCTGCACAGAATGGAAGAGTCAACTTGAACAAATCAGGATTTTTGACTCAATGCCAACATTAAAATTGAAATCTTAGCAGGAAAATCATCATTTATAGTCGGACAACCTGTAAAAACCATTAAAATATCCAAGTTGCATACATAGGTCACACACATTCCATACTAACAACCTTCCATAAGTGAAAATTTACCCCTTACAGCCTAAAAAGAGGAAAAACTGACCTGAAAACCAATAAATCCAACTTTTCACTTATCCAAGATTATTGCAATGACTAATATTAGCCTCTTCAATTCAATAATAACAGAATGAGCTCTTGTTTTTTTAATTGGGGGTAGAGTTAAGGATACCATGGAGAGAATCCAAGCTTATATGCCACACAACACAAATATCTGACCACTGGGCCAAGAGATTGCTGGAAACTAAAAAGAGCTCTAAACAAAAGTTAGCTTCCTTGTCCAGTAAAACTAAACTACAGATGTATCAATGTAAACAATTCCAAGTAGTTGAGATAATCTAAAGTATCTCAATCGATCCTTCTATTGAAAAAAATGAAAGGAACCTACAGGCATGATTGATTTGCACTGGAAAATTGACACAAACAAGTTCCAATAACAAAAAACATATTGGGGGAAAGTCTAACATATTGGAATTAATTTTTTCTAAAAGTAATATAGTAAGGATCTTATGACATAATAAAAGAAAATCAATGTATCAAAGTCAGTAGACTTTGATCAAGTTATAACGACAACATACAACCAGAGGATACATACCCGATCTAGGGAATATCGCATTTTTCCAGCATTTTCCCAAGCTACATCTGTTTCAACAAAGCTTAGTTAACAAACAAAGAACAAATAAAATGAGTTATTTCAAAGCAAAACCAATACCTTTGAGGGTTATTTCTTCACGAGGAACCACATTGTCTCTGGACAAGAAACCATAATATTGAGAATAATTATAAGAAAGAGAAATAACTTGGAGTCTGTAATGAAACAAGACTGTTAAATAACTTGGAGTCTGTAATGAAACTAAGACTGTTAGATTAGTTTACCGACTAGTATCTTCAAGAACCTCCAGATCAAATGCATCTAAGTCAAAACTCACAGGTCGAGTAATCGAGAAGGAAGTTGCACGCAGGGCCTCCTTCTTTGCTCTATTTTTTTCTCTAACCACAAACTGATTTATCTCAACCAGCACTTCTTGGCAGTCCTCAAAAAGATATTCAACCTTTTTGGAATATATTCTGACAACACCAACGAGGAGGTAGGCTAACACTCTATAAGCCAGAATCTCAAGCTGGCTCTGCAAGATAGTATCTGCAACACCATAAAAGCGTGAACACGACAATATTCACTAGTTTTTGTTTCAACAAAGCAGAGAACAAAGGCTTTTTTTAGCTTATTCTTGTATACACCAAAAGAAATGAAATCCAGACAGAAAGCCAAATTAATACAAAATTCAACTAAATTGCTAAACAAAAATGCATATTAAAAGATAGGAATCCAGAAAATTGGAATGCCTAAATTACCCGATTTCTACTAAGCTGTTTTTCTTTGAACTTGAAGCACAATTCCTTTAACTTATTAATAGGCTTCAAAAAATTTGTGAAGCATAGGATTGAAAATGTAAAATGAAGTACCAAGAAACTAGGTCACGGTGAAATACACTACTTTCAAATTGGGGGAACAAAAACTCCGCCCGTAGACCACGTATTACTTTCCTTCATCCCTTCTTTAACCATTCTTATACATGTATCATCTCATATAAACAAGAACACATGAAAACCAAAAAGAAAAAGAAAAACAACATTGACCGTTCATTTGCTTCATATATAACCAGACAGCGAAAAGACAAAAAAAAAATGAACTCGGAAACATGACCCCTTTGAAGTCTGGGTTTTCCTTTTTTTATATAAATAAAAGTTACAAGCGAAGGCAAAAGGGAAATGACTAACGGGCATTCGAAAGGGAGAAGAAACAGAAGGAGTGATGGGCATTTGAAAAAAAAAGGAGACTAACCGACAGAAGAGGAGATATTAATCTCAAGGATTTGAGATTTCTTGAGCCTTGTGAAGAGGAAAGCAGCTAACCATATGGCACCTAAAGGTCCTTTCTTTGACACTAGACACTTCGAAATAAACATGGCTTTATACCATTCACTCTCCTCGTCTTCTTATCTTCAATGTTTTGTGTTTTGATTTACATAAAGTCGAGCACCCAGCGGAAGACGAAGAGAGCCAAGCAAAGGCTACTTGAAGAACAAACGGTCGTCCAGTGTACCTTGCAAGCCTCTTAATTACATCTTTCTTTTTTCTTTTCTTTTCTTTTCTTTTCTTTTTTTGGAGTTCTATAAGAGGTAAAAAAATAACATTGTCGCTACTAGTTACCTCTTAAATTACATAAACATTTATTTTAAAATTATATTTAACATTTATCCTTTATATTCTGCATTTTCAACGGTGCTATAGTTTTATTGGTAAATTATATAATTCATCATTCAAATATCTCTTCACTCATATTTTGGTTACTAAAGTTTAAAACTTTTCAATTTAACTACTCAAATTTTAAATTGTTCTTGCTTTTATCACTCTAATTTATTTTATTAATAATTTTTTGACATGAAATTTTTATTATTATTTTATTAATATACAAGTAAAATAAAAAAAGTTAGAGTGATTAAATTATGAGTAATTTGGAGTAAAGTAATTGAATTTTAAAAAATAAAGTAATTAAATTTTAAAAAATAAACTCAGTGATCAAAATAAGAGTGAGAAGATAGTTGAGTTATAAATAATGCAATTTACCCATAAAAAAGATGCTATGTAAAACAATTAAATTTTTACGGTGAGGTATCAAAATGAAACAAAAAGTAAATATTAGGTATTATTTTAAAACAAATGGAAGTTTAGGTACTAAATATGTAGTTTACCCTTAGTCTTTTGAACGGTAATTGATTAAATTAATCTATTAGTCATCAAAGTATATTTTGATCACCAACTTAAATTGTTTTAGTTGATTTAATCATTTAGTCATTAACGTTTCAAATTAGTGTCAAAATGATTATCATCCCTCAAATCGCTACCAGAAATAATTACTTAATTAATATAATAATATATTCAACTTTTAATTTTTATATATTCTATCAATTCTATCCTAATTAAACAAATTAATTGACTGTACATATTGTTTTGGTTCTAAACTAACACCAAATAAGATACTCAAATAATCATTTTGGTCAATAAAACTTAAGGATAAAGTTTCAAATGTTATAAAATTGTCATTAAATTTTATCGAATTATTACAAAATTAACATTACTTTTTTTTATTAAACTATTAAGAAATGGTCATTATTTAATTTATCAAACTTGTATACTTATTATAACATCACGGTGTTCATTTTGTAACAATTCGATTAATTTAATGATTATCTTATAATAGTTCGTTCACTAATAATCATTTTGTAGCAATTCGATCGATTTAATGATTATTTTATAACTTTTAAAGTTTAATAATCAAAACAATCATTTGAACATAATATATTTTTTATGGGTGACATAAATCATATTTAACTTGATAAAGTGAATTTATGTTTTGGGTTTCAAGTTTGATTACTCCAAAAATAATGTATATGCACGAACCAATTTATCCAAATGGTTAGAGGAATCATAATTATTGTTAGAGACACTAACAACTGTAATAGGGTGATTGATCGTTCACTGTCAAATGATAAAATTTTACATTAATTAGAGTTTATTATCAATTATAAAATAAATACTTGATTTGGTGCAGCGGTTAAATATTGTCTTCCATTTAGGACCTGACCTCAAATCCGATAAGTGGAGCCAAAGATCAGCTAACTGTGGTTATGAAAGGTTTGTTTAAGAGAATCCCTTGCGAGTCCTCAAGTTCAATTCTTAAAGATAACACTAAAAGCAAACTCTCCTGGAAATTTCACCCCTTAAAGTTCCTCCCTACCAAAATAAAACTAGTGGCAAATAATGATCCAATCAAGGGAACTTGGAATACAATGTATTAAAAAGATGGATAAGAATCACGAAACCAGAATAATTAGACCTCATCGGACAACCAAAAATAAAAAAGATTTTGACTCGTAATCAACATGCACAACCACCTCTTTGTTCGGTCTCGGTCACAGCCTCTGGTATGCCCTGGAAATATCTGCATTCATACACAAACGAGTACTCAATTTTAAAGAGAATCATAAAATGCGTAGCCTCAGTCAATCTTAAAATGTTAAAACCATCTACTTAAGAAATAGGTAGACACAGAGACCCCGTATTTTTTAAGGGGGAAGTGGAAGAAGAAACTGTTCGGTATACATGATTATGGAAATATCAGAGACCAGAACTATACTCTAACAAGTCACGTTGTAATGTTTTTATTTTTCTTCTTAGTGTTGATGTCGTATTCCTTGGAAACATCATCCTCTTTCCTAACAGTTTTGTCTCAAAAACTAATGATCACAGATGTGCAGTATTGATGCAAGACAAGATAATAATTATCTTGAAATCTGCAGTGCTTGATGAAACAATGCACCTTTGTAAATAATATAATGTCAGAACAATGCTGATGTAATAGGCAAAAATCAGTATCCACTTCAACCAGGGAATATAATTCAAGATAAACTTACATGTCCTGCTCTCGCTCATTTGTTAGAGCATTTTTGGCAACACAAAGGAATGCAGCATCAACATTGATATCTTCTTTTGCTGATGTTTCAAAGTAAGGCATGTTTCCTTTAGAAGCACACCTGTCTTTTGCTTTCTTCTTGGAGACCTACATGACTCAAAACATCACCTTTTAGGCTGAGGGGTGAGGACAAAAGAAAACTAGGAAGTATAGATACTATATAGCCTTACCACTCGACTATTACCGTCATCTATATCTATCTTGTTTCCAAGCAACGTAAAGGGAAACATCCTGGGGTCAGTGGGATTTGCCTGGCAATGAAAATGAAAACAGAAACCATATCAACATTAAAAAAAATGAAAATCACTTTTTCAAAGAAATTAATATACAGTTTAGAGGAATGAGAACCATAAAAATAAGAGAGTAAGCAACCACAGAAATTAAATTGGCTGCTAGGAAATATCATGCACATTGAAAGGTCAGCAATGGATTCTGCTCATCCAAACGAGACCGATACCTCTCAGGTCATCAAAAGAGAGACAAATATCTTACGACACGTTATAGGGATATCAAGACTTCTTTAGGGTTATGATAAAGATTCTGCTTATGGTTTCTCATTCCATACATCCCTTTAAATAAGGACCGGCCTTATTACATAATTAGAAAACCTATTATATAAATGAAATAAATTAACTGAAATAAAATCATAACCCGGGCCTTAATTATAGAATAAAAACTAATGACCTTTCTAACCTAGATTCGACCCATAGCAGACCATGAAATAAAGAAAAATGCAGACAAATTTAGAAGGATAAGGACAAAACCGGTTATGACACCAGATCTTTCTCTGTATACCTTAAAGTAGTATACGTAATGCATTTACCTAGACATCTACTGAAGCTAGGGAATCAAATTAAATCAATCTATGTCCTAAAATCAAACCATCTAAAGTCAGCCCTATAACTAGGTAAAGCAAATATTTTGAACTAAAACAACAGATAACAGGAAGCAATCCAAAACAATGTGCCAAAACTAGGCTGAATAATGTTCTTGAAATTTTGCAACCATTGTTCGTTCTACTGTCAATATCTTAAGTACTTGGAAGAAGACACTCCTAACCAGAAGTATCCCATGCGTTCCTTCTTCCGTTTGACACATAAAGGAAACAAAACTTTGGTCAAGGTCACTTAATAAAACACCAACTTGCAAGAAGATTTACATTATGGGATTCATGTCAATTGTGCCTCAAATAAGTAATCTCTACCTTTTTCTCTGAAACAATTTTACAAGAGTTATCTTCATTTCTAACAGTTTGACTTGAAAAAGTGTCAATTGGGAAAGTTCCCTGAAGAGGCTGCAAGCATAAGCAAAGAAAAGTGGTGAACATCAATGTTGTCAAGGTGCAGCGCTGGACAAAAAATGTGTCTCGACATTTTAGGAGAGGCAAGGTTTTAGCCTTTAGTTGTAGACTAAGTTTAATATATAATGCATTGCTAGCCAACATTCCTTGACAAAAAGAATATATTTCTACTAAGCAGGTTTATCATGGGAGGAGTAAATAAAAGGAGTTCAACATGTATTACATACTATTTTTGACATTTTAACAACTAAGTCGAAGTGAAACATATCATTCAATAGGAAAAGCAAAATACAGCTCACTGAACAACTAAAACGAACAAGAAAATGAAAGAATAGAGAAAGGGGCAAAGGAAACCTGTTCAAGAAACTCCTCGTGCCAATTATCAAGGGTGTCGAATGATTTCATAACATTAACATCGTAAACTAGCACACAAAAATCTCCTGTCCTGCAGTATCCAATATCTATCCAAAGCAATTCACCCTCCCCCACCAAAAAAAAGAAGCATAAACATGCCTTCCATAGCAGTTTTAATATTAAGCTATAAAGAACATAGGAATATCCATGAAGAAATAAAATAGAATCTCTACCTGCAGAGTGACAAGGCGATCATCAATCTGGAGTTCTTTAGTGACAAAATCAGCACCAATCGTTGCTTTGTAGTGCTGACTAAACTTCTTATGAACATATCTAAATTCAAGCAGTTAAGTCTAACTGTACCTTTTAAAGTCGGTAAACAATCTATAAATGGGCCGAGATTATTCAGACAAGAAACTTAACAACAATGAATCAACTTGACCCAGAATATAAAATTTAAGATCCAAAAATTAAAAAGAAAATACAAAAAAGACGATTCAAATTCAATTACTGTTGAAAGGATTCTGATTCATCGACGACGTCTTGCCCACCCTGACATCGACAATAGCCCGTTGTTTATACGAATATTACATATAAATTATTAGTAAAACCTATAAATTGAAAATTAAAATTGATCTATCATTATTTAATTTATATATCACGTCATTAATTTTTAAGTTTTAAAAATTTAGGGAAAAAAAAGCACTTTCAAAAAATTAGAAATTATTGTAAAAAGTACAAGAATTAGAAAATTAGCAAATTTCAATAAAAATGGTTGACTCGAATAAATGCAATCCCATTAAGTTGTTATTTCAATTTTTAATGATTAAGAAATATTTTTGCAGCAAATTATTGTTTCACGACAAATAAACAAAGTCGTGTGTAATCGTAAACATTGACGGGAAATCATGTGATTAATCTAAATTTCCAGAAGATAGGATAGAAATATGGAAAAGCCAACATATTTATGGTATCATTGAGGGGACACAATGTTTTCAAAATAATGAATAGACTTATTAAGACTACATAAAAGGTGTCTTGAATCTTTAAATTAAAGTTATCTAGTTAATTGTATGAATTAATTTATCTTAGTGATTAAAAAAATTATTGTTGTTTTTAGAAGTCACGAATTTGAACATCAACTGTTATAGGAGGATGATTGAGTATTTATTATCAAATGGTATCATTGAGCGTTTATTGAACACCAACTTAGAATTGTCCGATTTTTTCATAGATGCCGCTTGTGGTCGACATCGACGTTTCTCAACTACCATCCATGGTCCGTACGGGTCATTCTTTGAAGAGTCCGCCTTGTTCAACGCCGAGCCATTTGATTGTCTATCGTGATCCATCGTCGAAACGTTCGGAGTAACGGGTACAACATTGGTAGGTGGAGGAATTTCCATGGGTTGGTTATGCGACTATGATTCGTGAGGGCAAGCCCCTTTCAATTGACAAAACCTGCCACGCGATAAGCAAATAAGCGAAAAATTTTCGTATTCAGCCACTGGGACTATCATCGATTACCACTCGAGAAACAAATGGCTCCTTCAGAATAACATACACCGCCACCGTTGCGAATATCCTTCTATTGCTAGTGGCTTTGTGGAAGTCAATTTTACCCACCTTACCAAGGTCGAGACTACGACATTAGAAGTCCTGTACAAATTCTTAAAAAGAGACATTTAAAGTAAATTGAAGTTTGATAAAGTGAATTGAAGAATATGAATTTTTTTTCTCATAAAGTAGAGTTAGACAAAAAAAATGAGATTACAGCTATAGTACAATACTAATTATTGTTATTTCCCATATGACTTTAATAAGATTCGATCGTAGATTCTATGGTTTTGGGCTTAAAATTTTTACCACTGATATATAAAACTTTATTTACTTTTTTATTGTAACAATAATAATAAATCTAATTTTTTTTTAGACCTTAATATTTCAGGACTCTATTCCGTCGTAAATATTACGCTGTTCTAGCCTTACCTCCGCACCTTACCCACCAACTTTCCTATGCTATGAAGGATTTTCTTGTGGTACATGTACTAGAGTGGACCAGGGAATCATATCCAGACGATGACAAATGTTACGTATGTTGGGACGTACGAAAATCCATCGTCTAGGGTTGGACTGTTAAATATTGTATGTAGATAATCCATTGGCCTTTAGCGAAAACTTTAGTCTTCCTCCGTTTGAAAACGCGTTAAGAAATAGCTGTTCTCCAAATCCATGAGTGTAAAAGGACGAGATGGTTTCCAAGTAATGTATAAATAATTATAGATTTACTTAAATTATTAACTAATATAAATTATCTTATATATTATAAATAATCTTATAATATAACCTATAATAATTAAACCGACAAATAAACAATGAGTCGATATAAGAAGTTCATCTCTTTTAAAATTTTAAAATCCGTGCTCTCTTTTTTTTAATCTAAGTTTTCACTCAATATTTTTGTCTCAACTTTTTACTTTTATTTTGATTTTTGATTAGTCAGTGATGACACTAATTTTAATATTAGTTGTCGATCGCGGATGATTGTTATTTTTCTTGTTCTTTGTCATTTATTTTTATTTGTTTTCTTGAGTTTTTTTTTAATTTTAAATAAAAATCGTTGTCTTTGTGACACGTTTTTCTCTACTCTTGTGGCATATTTTTCTCTGCTCTTATGACAATTTTTTATGGTTTTTGGTAAGTTTTTCGCATACCTCTACGATCATGTTGGTGCTTGCACAAAAATTCTCACGACATTTATTTTTTTGATTGGTTTGTCGGTGGTCACGTATTGTCAAATCTCCTCTTTGGTAAAAGGTTATTTGTTGATATAATTAGAATTGAGTTGCAAAGTAGTCTGCCAAATTGTTTGGCTACCTCACCACTCATTTATCACTTCGTAAAGCGTCTCGTTTGACAAAGACAATGAATTTTATAATGGTTATTGGGTTATTTTGATGTTGGCCGTCATTCTTAATGGAAGATTTCGATTTTCGTATATTTGTGTTTCATTTTTGTGCTTTATGTATGAATTTTTTGTGATTATTGTATTCAATTTTCTCTTTGAATACATAATAATTATGATTTATTTTTGTTATTTTTATTAATAAAATTTAGTTACCATTGTTTTTGAAATTAACATCCAGCTCAGTTGGTAGAGCACAAGGTTCTTAACCTTGAGGTCGTGGGATCGAGTCTCATGGAGGGCATTTTCATAATTCGGAAGTCTCCTATGGAAGTTGCTCAGCCTACTATCTTACCTCCCCCTTACCCCATTACATATGGGTACACTCTACAGTCATAAGATCATTTTGTAATTTTTAATAGTCAAGGGACTTAATAAATCAGTACTATATACTTAGGGAACCATTTGTGTATTTTACCCAAAGTAAAAAATATATCAAAACTTTATTAAAATAAAGCAATTCAAATACGGCAAAATGTAACTTTTGCTAGTAGATTCAATTTATCACTTTCACCCCTATTATATTTTCTCATCAATTTAGTCTTTGAAGTTGCTTAATTGCATCAGTCTATAACCCTACCCCTAACTTAAAAATTTAAACCCTAAACCCTAACCCTATTACCTCTAAACACTAACTTAGGATTTATAATTTAGGATTTTAAGTTAGGGAAATGACATAGATTGATGCAATTAAACAACTCACATGTTCACGAATACTCATTATCTGATCAAAATTATAATCATTATGAAAAATTATTTCGCATAGATAAATAATAATATTTACTTGCTCAAATTAAATAATTTTTACTTAATAGAGACTGCTTTAGTTAAACCTATTTTAATTGAAATAAAAAACAAATAAATATTTCAAATTTGATAAAACGTACTTTAGTCGTTTTGTCCTAGAAATCTAATATAAAGAACATTTTTTGTCGATATTGTACTTGCCTTATTTTACTTTTCATTTTTGAGCCATTATATAAAATTTATAGGTTAACCGTTTATTTCACATGAGTTATTTTTATAGAATCCATTAATTTTATTAAGAAAAATAAATATTCTAAATTATAATAGAGTTACAATCATAATCGTAAATTATTGAATTAAGATTAGCAACTTAAGGACCATACAATGAAAGATTTTAAAAAAACTAATCAAAACTCGAACAATAATAGATACAAAAAGATCTGATGATATCGACAAACAAACCGTAAAATGAGATCAAGTTATTGAAAATTACCGCAAAACATCAAATCAAAGTCGAGCAATATGAAAAAAACCATTCAAGAACGCAAATCATGTACCCAATCCTATCTGATGGTCTAAAGTAGGAAGATCAATATGATAAAATATAAGTAACATCTTGATTATTGGTAACGATGTCAAATCAACACTTAAAAATAATAAATGAAAAACAACGATAAAGCGAACAAAAACATGTCAAAAGACAAAGAAAAAACGTGTCATAAAGATAGATGAAAACATGACATAAAGGTAGACTTATTAAAAATTAAAAATAAGAGAAAAAAAATAAAGATACAATATAAAAAAAGACAATAAAAAATATAGATGATCGATAATCAACATCAAAATTAGTGTCACCATCAATCAACAATGATAAAAAGAAAAAATACAAATGACACATCACAATTATTTCACAAGAGTTTTTAATATATATATATATATATATATATATATATATTGTGATATGATCATGTTATACAATATACAACTCTTAGTTTTATATAAATTTAAAATCGTTAGATGAGTAAAAATATATGATTGAGATTAATAATAAAAATGTAAAGTAATTCACTGAAAAAAATAAAAAATGAATCTCAACTATTTATTTTTACTTATATAATAGTCCTAAATCTATTTAAAACTAAAAAAAAAAATCAGTGTGTAAATATATCCTTACCCATATAGAAACACATCTCTTTCATTATATTTTTATAGATATACATTAATTGATTTTGTCACGTGAGGTTATCAATCAAGGAGTGACAAACGATAGTTCTGTACCTTGTTAAGGGGTAGTCTCCGATTTTTATTTTTGGGGTAAAGTACACATTTAGTACCTATACTATTATTTTTTCTGTTTTAGTATCTAAACTTTCATTTTTATCAAAATCATATCTAACATTTACTCTTTATTTCATTTTAATAACCCACTATTAAAAATTAGGTACTAAAATGAAACAAAAAGTTAACAGCAGGGTACTAAAATGAAACAAAAAATTAACGATGGGTATTAAAATGAAATAAAAAGTAAATGTTGGATATAGTTTTAAAAAAATTGAAAGCTTAAGTGTTAAAACAGAATAAAAATAACAATTTAGTTACTAAACATATAGTCTGCCCTTACTTTTATAATGAAAAAGAAAACACAAGGGAATTGCGGAAATACTGATTTGTAAGAAATAAGAACAAAAATGAAAGAATATTTAGTAGTATAAATTGCAATTAGGGATGTAAACGAGATGAGTCGATTTTAAATATTGTTGAATTTGATTTGAATTGAAAACTCTGAAGTAAATCTCGACTTGACTCGAACACTCGTGAGTCTAAAATTTTTAAACTCGACTTGAACTTAAACTCATAAACTGAAGCTCGAAAAAGTTTGTAATGATTTTTTTAAACTTAATTCGATTGGGGCCTCAAACTCAAACTTGAACTTTAAATACATGAAAATTTAATACCATATATTTTTAAAATAATCGACACATAAATGTTAATATTATTAATAATTTATTTTTAAAAAATATAATCTTAATATATTATATTTTTGAGTTGTTCACGAGTTTTTCGAGTCGAGTATTAAGTAGCTCTTTTCAGCTCGTTAAAAACTCGAGTCAAATATTTATCAAACTTTGATCAAATCAATCTCAAATAACTCACGATCTGTCTCGTCAGGACTCTAATTACAATATGCTTAATCGTCAGAGTCAATTAAAGGGATAATTTTCCACTAGTTTTTCCTGTGAGTTTGAGACTCCACAAGGAAATTCACTTGAAACCCCGTTAAACAAATATTATGCACATTTTGTTTTACAATAATATATAATAGATGGAGCCTCGAAGTTCTACGCCTCTACCGACGAAATTTCCAAAGTCATTTGATTTTCTACTCACACCCTCTAATACTCCAGCCTCACCGCTGGCTTCCTCTCACCATCATCAAACCCAAACCCTATTTGCAGTCACACCATGGAGCTTAACAGTGAACATTTCCTTCTTCTACCCCAACCGGAAACTGCCTCCACTACTCTTTCTCCGGTCAATCCTGGCGGCAGAGCGTGTGTTGATTATACCTTGCAAACGTAAACCAAATTCTTTTCCTTTTTTTTTTTTGATTTTATGCAATTCTTGGTTATTTGTTTAGTGATCGATTGTGGTTTTTAATTTTGCAGAAACGAGGGTTATGCGACAACAATGGAGGGGAAGGTTAAAATTGCTTTCAGAACCAAATCTGGAGTTGAGGTAATGGATGATGGGTACAAATGGAGGAAATATGGGAAGAAAATGATTAAGGACAACCCTAATCCAAGGTAATCTGGGCTGGCTTCATGTAAAATATTTCAAAAGCTTCTACTTACAGCATGCATGTGTTTCAGTGTATGAATTGACGATATAGCTTCAATCATCATCATCATCATCATCATCATCATCATATATGTATATGTATGTATGTATGTATGTGTTGAAGTGCAGGCATTATTACCGGTGCTCAAGGGCAGGATGTAAGGTGAAGAAAAGGGTGGAAAGAGACAGAGAAGACGGGCGCTTTGTGATAACAACATACGAGGGGAGGCATAACCATGAAACCCCTCACAGTTCCCCTCCCTATAATTGATGCCTTTAATCTCACTTATGTTCTTTACAGTTACAGTTTCATCAACCCTAACTCTAATATATTCCTACTACCTGCACCTGTTTCAATATCCATTACTCTCTCTAGTTGTATGTTATCTAATTGATTATTCTTAAATAATATTGTATCATTCTGCTCCACGGGATCATGCATTTTGTTTTAAGTATATAAATAAATATACATAACTAATTAGATAAAACCTTAGATTCCTTAAATAATGTTTGGTTTTAACTTTAGTGTTGTAAATTGAATAAGTTAAATTGAGAGTATCGTCCCATATATATAGAGAATAAATACCTAGATTTACAGTACAGCAAGAGTCAAAAACAAGAATAAACTAATTATAGATTGGGATGATAATTTAATCCGAATATGACGGGTTTCCACCCGGCTTGATCTAATAGGATTGGATTTATTAAAAAAATAAGTTCGGGTCGAGTCTGATCCGGGTGGAGGATGAAAAAACTCCGACCCGATCAAAAGATAATAATGTAATTTTCTTTAAAAATTATTATTTTTAATTAAATCATTATTTAGTATCGGGTCGGGTCAGATTTATACTATAAAAAATTGGATCGGTCAAAGTCAGGAGGAAATTATAAAAAAATTTAGATCGGGTCAAGTGAAGGATACATATTTTCTGGTCGGCTTAACCCAAAATGTAATCCTAACTCGACTCTTTATCCCTAATTATAGAAGCCAAACATTCTTCCTAAAACCACACAAACAAACATTAATATTGTAAGTGGTGAATATGATAATACAATAAACATTAACTTTTTATATAACAAAAAAAATAATGTTTGTTTTCATTTATCTTTGTGCTTGGAAGCAAATTATAATTTTAACCCAACTTGACTTCACTAAGAAGAAAGCGCCCACACTGCTAACACAATGTTTCCTTATAACAAAAAAAAATATATATAACAATAATGACTCGTTGACAATTTGACATTACCAATTTATCACAACTCAATCATAATCCATCTTCGGTGATTTTAAACATTTATCAATGTCTAATCCAAAAATCTAGATTAGATGTTAGGTCAAATTCAATTTAAAAAAAACATATTATAAAAAAAATACTATAACAGCATATAAAACTATCCATAATTTCGTACGAAAAGGGAGAAATTAATGAACAAAAAATAAAATAACTCAAATTATATGAGGGGAGGGAAGAAAAAGAAGTCAACGGTGGGTGTCTGGGCGAATAGCCAAGGTTAGTGACCTCGTCATCGGTAAAAAGTATATTAGAAAACTAGAAAAGGATCGACAATATGTACATGATTATTTTATACACATATAGCCATTTTTTAATATAATACATATATTATTTAAACCTTTTCTAATCTCTAAATCAAAGAATATTATGTATAAGGATGCGTTTGGTAAAGTTTTCTAAAAGTATTTTTAGTTAAAAAAAACCGTTTTGATTACAAAATCAATGTTAAACGAGTAAAAAATAAAATAAAAAATTACAGTGGAAATAGTAGTTTCAAATCAACCGCAAAAACTATGATTTCTAGCATTTCTATTTTTAACTTTGCGCTTGGAAGTAAATTATAATTTAGACTTATTAATGCACGGGCTCCACTCAATCATGTATTTATATTTTATTTTAATAATTTAATACTAACATCCTCAAAAAAAAATTTATCACTTTTAATTATTTATTTTAATTATTTAAAACTAAAATATTAATAATGAGTTATATAAACTATATTTTTATTATAATTATATTTTTTATTTGTATTTTTCATATTTGTATTATAGTTTAATTTGATATAATTCATATATAATAATAATTGTTTTGAATTTGTTATAGTTTAAATTGATATGATTCATATATAAGTGTAAATATAATTTAAATGTTATATTTTTAATTTACAACATAAAATTTATAATGAACATTTTATTTTTTTCAAACTCACTTTTTTAATAGTAATCTCAATCAATTAAATTTTAAATTATACTTTTGTATAATGTTTTTAAAAATTCATTCCTATAACACTTTTAAAAGTTACTTTTCAAAAGTTATACCAAATTGCCCTTAATTGTGTTTGGACTCACAACCTCTTAGTATTGTAGTAAAAACAATATCAATTAAGTTAAAAGTCTGTGTGGGTGTGTGAAACTTTTTAATTTTTTTATTAAAAGTTCAATGTTACTGATTAATATAGTTATTTTTTTATTAAATTTAGATATAGGGACGGACCAAGGGGGCGAGAGGGGGCAGTTGCCCTTAAAAGTGTAAAATTATCATATATTTTAATTTTTTCTTATATATTTTTTAATTGTAAATCTATTTCCATCTCTCTTGAATTTTATAAGTTGATCACTTTCTAAAATTTTAGCAACATAAAATCCTGCATCAGTCCCTATTTAGATATGCTATAGTGTGCAATTCTTCACTCAAGCAAGCGTTCCACACTCTTGGGGACGAGTCAAATAGTAATACTTCAACTGGCTTATCCTGACTTAGAACCCTTAGTAAATCAACAATTTGCCACTAGGAAGAAAGAAAAACCTTCTCAATCATTAATTTGCCACTAGGAAGAGAGAAAAACCTTCTCAATCATTAATTTAGTGATCGGTTAAGTGATGAATGGGAAGATGCAGTGTATGATCGGTTAAGAGAAGACAAATCATTGCAAGTTGTATCCCTTTTTCTTTAAGTAGTTCAACCGAACATAAAATTGAACTTTTTGTGTTGAATAAATAATCTAAAATATTGTCAAAATGGATGAAGACAAAGCTAAATAATCTACACTGTAATTAAACACAATTGGTAAGAAAAGAGATATATCATCATGTATGTCCCTTTTACTACAAATGAGTTTGATTTCCACTATTATTTTACGAATGTTCCACAAGGATCAACACATTTTCTGGGCAAAACAACTTATAAAAGCACAAGATTTAACAGTGTTCAGTATCTTATTGGGCTTACAAAATGGCTTTAAGAGTATCTCCATTCACCAACCAAACTTCTTCAAGGCATCCTTCGTCCTCTTCCTCATGTGGGTGAAAACGATAACAACGCAAGCAAGAACCCAAGGAGGGAAATCTCCAGCCAAAATGTTGAATTTCTTCATCCATTTGGGAGTATCCTTCACTAGTAGAGTTATTAGAAGTGTAAGAGCTGCTATTCCCACCAATATTTTGGTTATAGGTTTGATCAATGAATCCTGAAATTGAGAATAAAACAAAACAGAAAACAAATCAACTTATTTAAGCAGCAGCAACCTACAGTTGAATAATTTGCAGTCAGCAGCCAAGATGATTATAGCATTTAAAACATTCCATGGCCATGAGTTGCCCGTAAGCTCAGTCATTTACTCATTCACTGAATGCATACACAGGGTTGCAGGAAACTATATTACATGTATTAAAATTTTCGGACATTCGAGAGACTGAAAGCTAGTTAGACTCAGCAACATGGACCACTTGCTGTAAAACATGTGCATGGGAAAGTTTATACAGTCCGGAGGAGCGTACACAAAGGAAATGACACATAATTTATTTATTTGATTGAGTGTAGGTGGGTAGGGGGAAATCTATTTGAAGATGGTAAGTATTTTGTTCCAAATATCCATTCCCTTATATCTTTTGACTAAATAGTCAGCCTCTCATGAATTCAAAGATCTTTGTACTTCGTTACGAATACCTTTATTAAAAAAATTGTAATGTGCCATTGTTATTAGATGCATCCAAGTACTTGCATCTAATTTTTGGACCCATTTAGCTGACTCTATGAGTCAAAAAAATTTAAACAAAAGACAATTGGACACATACCAGCATCTGATACCAGAATTTGAGTCAAATGTATAACATAGGTTTAAGCATAGGTGTCAATGAGACATGTGTACTTGCAACCTACTCGGGTTTATTCCAAAATGAAAAAAGAAAAATCTAATTCGGCTCAGCTATTGTTGAGCGATGCTAAAGCTTTGAGTGAATTCAATTCAAGTATTTTTTTTGTTCATTTCTAATTAGTATTGAATTTTTTTTATTCAACCTTGAGCTCAAGCACAAATAATCGAACTCATTTTTTACTAGGTAAACAAGCCTAATCAAGTTAACTCAAACAGTTTGATCATTATCTCAAGTTCGAGTTCTAAAAATAAAACTCAATCAAGTTCAAGCTCAAGTTGAACCTTGAGCTTCAAATTTCAAATCTAGCTGAAGCTCAAACTTCTTACTGTTTGAACTCGATTAAACCTCTAAGATAAGGGATGTAGTCAAACCTGTGATTCACTTCAACATCATATTTGAAGACAAGTCTAAAATCCACGTTATAAGAATTTTGCTGATCTTTTCATTACTGAAATTTTAAGCCTCATCTCCTACAGTTTGATCCACGGATCAGAAAGCAATTACTTCTAAGCATCCAACACAGACTCGGTTAATAGTTATACATTCAAGTATAATTATATCTATATCAATTGTAATCATAAGAAAATAAATTCTATTTGGTTGAGGCTTGGTCTGATTTGAAATGGTTTAAGATCCTAATTGAGCATTCTCCTCGGATATCTTATATATATAAATTAGGTTATGAATAAGCATATTGTTTCATGTGAAAAATAAGATTCTGCCACTTAAAAATAAATAAAATTTTGATCCTTAATTGTTCAGAAATATGTACTAATTTATACTCGATGTAACTTTTTTGTTAAACTCGAGATAAAAATTCTGATCAACGATATACATGACATAAGAAAATCGCATATAACCTAAAGCCATTAAAACTGACAAAAAATTGAAATTACCTTTGGTTCGCCGTCAATGTGAACCACCGATCCGTCCTTGTATCCGGGAATAGACCTTCCGTTTCTCGGATGAAATCGGATTGGGACGCCGCGACCCGACTGGGTACTGAAAGCGTAAATCGATTTCAACCCGTATTTCTCAAGTATATCTCGAACCTCCAGCTGGTTCTGGTCTTGTCGGTACAAACGATCTCTACTTCGGGTACCCTCGTCTTCACGGTTCTCGGATTAGGGTTGGGTTTAGGGTCGGATACATCTGTTACGTCCTGTAACAGTGGTTCGATTTCTCCGGTGTCTTTAGAGGTTTCTGTTTCTGTTCCCATCTCTTTTGACTCAAAAAGCACGACGGACATTACCGGCAATTGCAATTTTTTTTTTGGGATAAACTATATCATTGACCCCTCAACTATGAAGACCTTCTACTTTTGACAAAAATCTTTCAATTTTATCAAAAAGACCACTTAAATATTTAATTATGTTTAATCATACTACTTGCCATTAATATCTAGTGAAAAAAATACTAGTGTGACCGTTAATAAAATCAGTATAATTATATATTTAGTCCTCAATATTTATATATTTTATTAATTTGGTCTTAAATCAAATTTAATTCAATAAATTTATCTTCCAACAGGTTAAATGAAAATCAAATAGCATAAAAATAAAAGGGGTTTTGGGGATAATTGAACCTGTGCACTAGGAAGCATGAACGCGCCCTCACCTCCGGCCTAAGCTTCATGTTTGGGCTTTGATTACACAATGCAGTATATACTATATAGTATAGTTATTTCCAGCAAGAAAAAAAAAAGTATGCCCATGGTGAGAATTGAACCTAGACCACATGAGAATTTTAAGAAATATAAACCACTAGAATAAACCAAATGTTTATGTAACACAATGGTAGATTATTTATATATATTAAATACTTATTTATACAATATTGAAATGAAAAATTAAATTTTATATATTTTTAAAGTAATTTCAATTTGAATTATGTAACTATATTTTAATTAATTTTTAAAATTTCATACATATTTCTTAATAAAAAATAAAACCGTTAATTAAATAAAAAGATTCAATTTGAAAATATATATGATCCTTGAATTATAAATATGAAAATAAAAATATTAAATTTATTTTAAAAATACTAATCCCTTGATGCAGAATAAAAATAACAGAAACCCAGAGAAAACCCAGAAAGAAAGCTTCTTTTTTTGTTGTCGAACAAAATAGCCTTGAAAGGCCAAAACAAGGGTAGAGAAACAATAATGACAATGGAAGTTAACGTTCAATTTCGTTTTCCTTCATTTCCTACATCTTCGAAGCAACAATTAGAGAAAGTGCGTAATGGAAATTAAGAAGTAATTAGAGAGAGAGAGAGTGGAAAAACCTCATGATTGGGCGATTATCCGCGTACTTGATTGTTTGCTTCGTTCGCTCAAAGAGAATTTCTGTGCGACGCGGCTGACTGTTAAATATTGAGAGGTTTGGAATATATTTATAGGATCTTGGGGTAAAATTGGAAAATTGGAAAAATTTTATGCTTCTTGTTAGTATTGTTTAACCATTTGTTTTTTCTTATTCAGATTTCCTTTTAACGGTTTTTACAAGGCCTTTAGATGCAGCGAAGGTATCAACAGTTCGATTCAGAAAACCAAATTTTATTTGATAACCATTCAACGTGTTGAATTTAAATAATTTATATTATTAATTAAATTTTATTTTAAATATTTTTTTATTTTTCTACCTTTGATATTTTTTAAAATATTATACAATATTTTTTTAAAGTACACATGTTATTTTATAGGATAAGTACACAAATAGTTCTCTAACTATATGACGACGTTGCTTTGTTGATTACTTTGACTATTAATAGTTATAAAATGATCACTCAACTATTTATATATTTCAAAATCATAATTTTTCGTTAAAAGATTGGCAATCTCTTGAGTTGGACGTTAACATGTTGATTGAGATATGATAAAATTTAGTCCTAAAATCATTTGAGTTTTATTTTATAGATTGAATCTCCATTTACATTATGTTGTCGAATCAATATTTGAAAGCAACGATGTTACCAGTAAACATCAGTAAAAATATGATTTTATCATATCTCAATCAATAAGTTAACGTCCAGCTCACATATTGTCAATTTGAGTGGTTTTATTAAGATAAATTTGATAAATTAATCAAATTAAAAAAAACCAAACTATTAAATGTTTTTAATCATATCCCAGAATTTGAATACTCCTACTAAGAAGAAGTTGATGAATATCGACATATAAGATCGAATTTTTTACTCTTAATGAGTTTATATCTATTAATTTGGGTGGTCATGTTGAGATTAATTTAATAAAAATGTCTAATTTAAATTTAAGATGTTAAACTTATTATATGCTCTTAATGATTTCGTAATTTTGATTTGAGTAGTCTACATTATAATAAATTTGATGAAATCAATTACTTAAGTGATATTGTAAAAAATATTGAATCAATTTTTTATAACGCATTGACTAAAGTGATGATGTGTAGCTAAATTCATTTTTATCTGATCATTGATCTCAAGTGGTTATTTTTTTGTTTAGTAATTATATAGAAATACCTTAATTATATGTTTAACTTACCATTATGGTCATAAACATTCTTTGTAATTTTGGGTGTATTTCTTTTAATAAAATTAACTATTTTTATTAAAAAATTATCTTCTCAATATTTTTATATAATAATTAAATAAAATTATTCAAATATATTATTTAAGAATCAAACAATAAATTTTTTAAAAGGAGATAATGGCAATTTTACCCAAAAATACCCTAACAATTAAATATTACCTGTCAGACACTCTTTCTCCAAATATTATCGATCTAGCATCCTTTCTTACAAAGTGCGGATCATGAGGTATTCTTTCACAGAGTTTTGTCCGAACTGACGCCACGGTGGTAAAGTGAAGATCATGAAGCGCGTCTTTACTATAAATCAGACACGTGACGGAAGGCGCAGATTATGCATTTAAATCCCAACCGTCCCCCTCCCCCTATAAATACCCTATCATCCAACACTCATACCACACAAAAAAACAATATATTTATTCATTCTATATATTGTTCTATCAAGTTTTAAATAAGTATAGTTATCATTTTTAGAAACTAATTTTTTATAATATTATAATCATTTAATAGTTTATTATTTTTTTATATTTTATTGTACTACTTTTTTATTACTTTTTGCAGTTATAAAATGGTTGCGTTTAGATGAGAATTATATATCAAATCATTTTGTCGATACAATAATAATTTTAAATTCTGTTATTTATTTATTGTGAATATTTTATTCATTTATTTTTTAGTATTAGTTTATATTTTAATTTGTATATTATTTATATAATAGGTGAATGACCGTATATTAGATCCATTTATTCGTAACGCTAAATTAGAGATACCGAGTCGTGTCTAGCCGTATTTAGCTGAGGCTCGATTCAGCTGCATAGCGAAATATGAAGGGCACTGTAACTTTGAATCCAACTTTATTTCTGCATTGATTGAGAGGTGAAGACTAGACACATTTCATCTTCCGTGTGGGGAGTGCACTATTACGTTGGAGGATGTTTCCTTACATTTGGGGCTTCCGGTAGATGGAGATGTTATTTTTGGTGTGGCGGATGGTGATTAACATTCCTTATGCGAGGAGTATTTTGAAGGTATCCCGCCTAATTTCAATGGTGGGCGAATACTGTTATCATGGTTTGCTAGAAATTTTCGACGGCTGAGCGACAACTGTTCCGAGGAACATGCTCAAATATTTGACCGGGCTTGCATATTGTAACTCATAGGAGGGATCTTGATGTCCGTCAAATCTCACAGAATTTTAAGTTGACGACTCATTCAGTTGGGGATCCGTTGTTTTGGCATCTCTTAATAAAGAAATGTTTCGAGCAACTAATTATCGAAAAAATGCTATTGGCAGATGTCTCCTTCTTCTGCAATCATGGGTGTGGTATCGCATGCCTTTTTTTATGTCCGGTCGTGAAAAACTCGTTAGTCTTTCCGTTATTGTTGAAGTAATTTCAATAGTGAGTTTGTATATAAATAAATTTTTTGAATATATAATGGAATTTTTTTACACTGAATAGGTGATCATCTATAAGGAAAGATCACCGTGATATACCAGACAATTTGAAAGAAATTTTGATGCTCATTGATCAAAAGGTTGGTACATAGGTATGTATTTAAATTTTATTATTTACCTTTAATTATCGTTATATAATTAGAATATTATTTTGATAAGAATTATATATATATTTGTTTTAGTTTCAATTGGATCATTGTTTTACTAAAGAAATGAGGCGTTGCATCCCCTCTCACTTGAATGACCCATTAAATGAATGGATGGCGGTGACCCCTCTAATATGTTATGCTATTGTCGAGTGGCATCCTATTGATCGTGTGCTCCGTCAATTTGATTTCATACAATCTATTCTTGAAGCACCTAGAGATCTTGACAATATGCATAACATCGATAGACATCGATAGACGGGACAAAAAAGAAGTCAACTGGCTGATGAAGTAGAACAAGTGAGTAATGATATGGAGGATTGACGTGGACGCATTCTCCGTTGGGAGTCGATTTATGTGGATCATTATTCAGTTGTTGATGACTATTATCAGTGGTTCAACACAAACGAGAAGTCGTTAATACTTTTCAAGGAAGCACGAGGCGAGAGCATTCGTCAGCGTCAAGAAAAACGTCCATTGTCATAACATCATCGTCCCTCGACTCGTGAACGGAGAGCATGCGTTTCCGGATCGTTCTCCGTTGCAACACCGAAACCATCCAAGCCATCGGTTTATATTCTGCATCCGTTTCAGATGCCACCGCAACCATTTCAAATGGCACCGCAGTTGTTTCCGAATTAAATACACCTAATAAAATAAATAGTATACAAATTAAAATATAAATTAATGCTAACAAAATAAAAAAATTCATAATAATTTAGATAACATAATTTAATATTATTACCGTATCAGCAAAATATCTCGAGATAAGATCATGTTTTCCATTTTATAACCGTAAAAAATAATACAAAATAATTAGTATAATAAAATTTGGTCAAATAATTAAATATAAAATAAATATAATATAATAAAAAAATAATTTTACCTTTTAAAAATTATAACAAAATCTACTTCGCTTTCTAAAAGGAAGAATGCGAAAGTAATTTTGGTGTGGTTTGCTGTTTGTATTTGGGAGAATTTATAGGGGAGGGGGGATGAGTGACCGAGAGAGTTGACTCAGGTAATAATGGAGTGTGCAATAACTCGTGAATAATGGAAGGCGCACCTCATGATCTGCGCTT